TAATGGAGAGGGAAGACTGACATTTAAAAGCTGTTGCTGTTACCTACTTTTCCATTTAATGAAGATGAGTCTTCGGGCTGGCCGCAGCGAACAATTACAGCACTTCGACATTCAGGCGAAACAATGAGCCGTTGCTATTTTAGTTATTCTTGTTTTCAAAAATAACTCGAGAGCAGTGCCTAGGGCGTTGGAAAAAATGAGGAATCTCCTTTTTACTCTGGGGCAGGTGAGCGTGTTTCCCACCCCTCCCTGTTTTCTCTTTCATGATCGCTAAGACAACACAAGCCTTTCTACACGCCGTAATAATGTTGTTGATGTAGAAGACATGGCCAGAGTTTCGGTTAGGAGTAGAAAAGCCAAGGGCTTGTTACTAGGTTACATCACTGTTGTTGTTGTGAAGCGGTGTGCCAGGTCTTCAGGCGCTGTGGAAGGAGCTCACAGAGAGTGATTCCCCTCTGCCGAAGCCAAGTTACCATCCCCCCAACGGGGCCTTCTCCACCGCAAGTCTGCTTACTAATCCACACATCCATGTACACACACGAGTTTGCTCGCGTTTGTTCCATAAAGTAAATATTTATTGTTCACGCTTTGACTCGTAGAAATGGCGTCTGAGAGAGCATACGTCGTGCCAAAGCAATTAACGTTCTCTTTTAACACTGTGATCGGATGATATTGAGTTTTGGAAAGAGATTACTCCCAGTAATTGTCGTCTTTGAATTACAGTAGGAGCGCATTTGCCTTTGTATATTTTACCTTGAGAATTCTCAAGCGTTTCTTAATGCACTCTAAAAGACAATGAATATTAACGCTCAGAGCATTTGCACAGTTTATGAGTTGTTATTAAACAGCTCTCATTGTTTCAACATGGCCTTGTTAGTAAAATCTACCTTTTGCATATAACTCACATATGCATATACATATATATTAATGTATGTAATTTTATTATTTGTTTTATAGAAGACATTCAATAATAACACTTTTCAGTGCATACTTTTTATGTGCTTTTATAATTTTTTTAAATATTTCAATTTTGCTTTAATCTAGGAATTTGCTTTAATTTAGGTATTTTAGTACTTATTTTATTTCACTTAAAAAGGCAAAAAAAAACATTTTTAAGCACCTAAAACACTTAAACGTTTAACCTTTTGTCAAATAGCAAATGTGTATCAAATATAGGTGTGAATCTTCACTTGCTTCACGATTAGATTCAGTTACGATTCAGAGGGTAGCGATTTGTTTATAAATGATGTTAACAATGCTTTACTTTTTTTCCTCATTTTAAATATATTTAACAGAAGCATGCATGTAGAATAAATAATACAGAAATATAATCAAATGTAAAAATAATCACTTCATAGTTTTTAATTAATTAATTGCAAATAAATTGATTATTAATTAAAGCTGCAAAAGATATTCAGTCAAGATCAGTCAAGAGTGTTTACCCTTTTCTTTTGTTGTTTGATTAACATAAATGACCCAGACAGCAGCAGGTTAATGCACAGGTCTAATATAATATTACACATCAGATTTTCCCCCAATTTTTTTCTGTTCAATTAAGACATAACCAGTTGTATTTACCTGAATGCTCACCAAGACCGATATTTTGAAATAATTCTGTCTATCTGTCTGTCTACAAGTGCTTTGCTTCCTAAGCACATATGCAACTATTTTTAATCATATATAAGAAGTGTAGCCTACAGTATTTACAATAAAACAGTACATTAATATGTATGATAGGCCTATTTAATTACATTTTGTAAAATATTGATTCTTTTGTGTTAATGCATCAGTGCAGAAGTGTTCACATCAGCATTGTAAAAACAATTACATTCTGCAGCTCTAGTATCAAATGATAAATCATTTTGGCTCAAGTAGTAGTAATCAGTAGTATTTTCTTAATTCAAAGCAGTGATATGCATTTGTTGTAATCAGTTCCCAGGGGGCTACTGACTTCAGTAGACTGAACTGCCTAACTCTGTGGATGTGTGCATAATGGCCACCAGCCATATCCCTTTTCCGTGCCAGTTAATGCATGCTCCTCTGCAGCAAGGGCCTGTAACGAGTCATCTGTATAGGTGCCAATGTTAATGAGGGGAGATGCAGGCTGCATTTTACTGCCTGGCACTGCAGAGGTGCGCTAATTACCACAGCAGCGCTCCTGAGAGCAGTGCATTCCTGTGTGATATGCATGGAGTCAAAATGGCAGCAGCCCTGTAGCAAGTAGGTGATGCTTGAGACCTGAACCTTTATCTGCAGATTTCATCATTCAGAATTCTTGCAGGGATACTTCTGTGGTTTGTGGGATGGTGATGTGAATATTAAGTGCACAGAATGCCTCATTCTGCATGCATCATTTGGCATTTTTGTAATGTATTACTTTATTAGTCAAAGCCTTAAAATACATTGTGCATTATGCACGTGGCATGAACAGCCTCACAAATATTAAAATATTTATCCTAAGTCCAAATGAACATTTAATCAGCTTTTTTTTTTTGTTATAAGAACTGTTCTATATAAGTGTTTTATAAGTTCACCTGAAGTATTTTAGCATTGTTTTGGTCACTCTGACCTTCCAAAAAAAATCAGATGACGACTTAGTTAAAACTTGATGTGAAAGTTTTGAACTTTGCTTCAGTTATTTTATTGCAGCTTTTTATATCTGATGCTTTTTTGTAGGGCTGTGCAAAAAAATCGAATGCGATTTTCATGCGCATTTCGTCAGTAAAGCCGCTTCTGTGATTAGTAGTAAATCTTCAGCACGTGCTCTCAGATGGAGCGGCATTTACTACACAGAGCCGTAGTTCACTGACAAGCTACACAAAATCGCGTTCAAAATCGCAGGTGTACACACTATGTACTTGTTAGGGCTGCACGATTAATCGAATATGATTGTCATGCGTATCTTGTCAGTAAAGCCGGTTCTGTGATTAGTAGTAAATCTTCAGCACGTGCTCTCAGATGGAGCGGCATTTACTACACAGAGCCGTAGTTCACTGACAAGCTACGCAAAATCGCGTTCATAATCGGCAATGAATCGCCTGCGATTTTGAACGCGATTTTGCATAGCTTGTCAGTGAACTGCGGCTCTGTGTAGTAAATGCCGCTCCATCTGAAAGCATGTGCTGGAGATTTACTACTAATCACAGAAGCGGCTTTACTGACGAGATACACATGAAAATCGCATTCGATTTTTTGCACAGCCCTACTTTTTTGATATCCAACTCTTTTATTTTGATCAATATTTCAAAGTTTTTCTGAGCAATTCTGACTCTGCTGCCCACAGTTTTATCTGCTACAGTCAGCTTTGGTGTTTCTTGTGTAGTCTTTACTTTCAAATGCATATATGGTCATAATCAACGAGGGCAAAGCTTGCAAATTCTCCTTTATTGAAGACACTGTTGTTATCCAACATATACATGAGCCTTTTTTTTTTAATCAATGTCAAGTGTTTGGGTTAAAATGTATTTTGAATGTGTATTGTTTAAAAAAAATAAATAAACATTTGAAATAAATGGTTCTCATGTAGTTTAATTTAAGGTCATAAATGTTGCATTCATTGTGAAAAATAAGCAAAATTCTGTTTAAAATAGTTTGAGATGACATTAACATGTCACCACAGGATATTAATTAATGCCATCACTTTTGTATAGATTTTTTTGATATAAATGTTGATAACGTGACTCTGAAAAACTTCAGATACTGGCTTAACCATACATTTACATTTATGAATTTGGCAGCGAGTTTTTTCCAAAAGCAAGTTCAGGCTGTATATGGATAGTTGCCTTACCTTTCACATTTATTTGGCTGCTGTCTGCCTGGCATTGCTTTCAGGTTGGTTGCCTGTTTGTTGCAACATGCAGCAGTTTCAGTTTGTCAGTGCAGTTTATTTCTACAGTCTATGTGAAAATCAGATTGGATGCATGAGAAATTGAAGAGTACATTGCATATAGATTTGATTTAATTGAATTAGCAAGTGCCCAAAGGTGCTAATTTCCTGCATGTGAATGGCAAGGATGCTAAATTAGAATTTTAAGTTTGCACTTCATACAGCTGGATCAGAGGGTCCCATCCTTGTGTGGAAAAATCTTTTAAATTAGAGGGTCATGACTCACCTTTATGGAAATGACAGAATGATGAAAAAAGACAGTCTGTCATAGCACTGGCCTCACAGACATCTCATTTATCAGATTTCAGAGGCTCGCGCTCGCTTTCCGCCATTCTAGAGGAATTTCAATGAGGTTCCCGAGAGAACCGGGGAGGTATTTTTAAACCGAGGTTCGTCTGAATAATATGTGGGATATCCCCTCCCCTGGTGCCTTTTTTCCAGTCGTGTTGTCATTTTCACAATAAGACGTTCTGTGCGAACTGTAGATGGATTATGCCGCCCGACCGTGTACCTATGTGACTGGACGCTTTTGCTACTATTTTGAGCCAGAGAGGGCAGCGTGCCTAAAACACAAGGTTGTCTGTGGGTGTAGGGTGCAGCCGCAGACGTGAATGAGAGATCATGCTGCAAGACAACGACTCCGAGGCCTGTTTACAATGCAGAGAGATGGAGAGGGGGGGAAGGGTAGAGGGAAATAGAAAGGGTTATGCTACCCTCAGGAGAACTGGAATTCCATGTGAACCGTTCCCCCATTTGGCTGGCAGTTGTGAAAACAATTCCGCAGCATTTACTTAGTTTGCAGCTCGGATTACAGTTGTGTGAGTCAGCTGCAGGGTGCAGGCCGGAGGTAGGAGGTGGGCCAGACGGCTTGGCCGGTCTGTGCAGCTCAATGTTTTTTTTGTTGTTTTTTTTTGGTTTGTCTGCAGATCTCCGTCTGTTCTAGAGCTTCTCTCCAAAGAGAAATGCTGCCTGTTTGAATGTGCTAATTAAAATGACATTGGTTCCAGCTGTAGTGGTTCTAACTATTGAAGTGTCAGCGCGCTTCAGAAGCGATCACTCATATCCTGACAGTGTCGGGCAATATAATGATCCCCTCTCTCGCTCTTCTCTGCAGGTTTAGTTTTTGAGTGACGCCGACAAAAACAGTGATCTGAGGGAACCTCTGCGTCGCCGCCGCACCGAATCGTCACCCCTCCTTTGCCACCGCCACTCGACCTGCCACCATGACGTCGGAGCTGGAGAGCAGCTTGACCTCCATGGACTGGCTGCCACAGCTGACCATGCGGGCGGCCATTCAGAAAGCGGACACCCAGAACGCTCACGGGCCAGGCATGGCTAAGAAGAGCGCCCTGCTGGACCCCAACACCACACTGGACCAGGAGGAGGTGCAGCAGCACAAGGACGGCAAACCACCGTACAGCTACGCCAGCCTCATCACGTTTGCCATCAACAGCTCGCCAAAGAAGAAAATGACACTGAGCGAGATCTACCAGTGGATCTGTGACAATTTCCCCTATTACAGGGAAGCCGGCAGCGGGTGGAAGGTAAGGGGCGAGGCGCTGTAAGCGTCAGTTAATTTGTCATTATTTGCTTTCTGCCCGTCAGAGACATTTGCATGCACACGAGTGACGTCCCTCCACTTAAATTCAATCAGTGTACCGAATCAGCCCTGAATTTAGTCAGAGGAGACTGCCAAGGTTAATGTGTGAAATTATTCTCATTTCTTATGCTGTCAAGGCTTTTTTTTTTCTTTCATTTCCTCACCAAGGAACGCTTCGAAAATATAAAAGCAACAGCCACGCTGCTATTTTGCAAAGCGCCATTCGGATCTGTTTATGACCATTAATATTTGACACAGTATCTTGTCTCTCTAGACACAAGAAAATAAAGGCTCTTTTTGGAGACACGTGTGAGAAGGAAGTGTGTTGATATTCACCCAGCCAGATCCAGCCACACAAGCCATAGAAGAGGGAAAAAGTGCCTTTCATGGCTTGTATTATTCATGCCGGATGCCTTGATAGAAGTCTATTATGTTGGAGAGAGCCATTGCTGTGTCACCATCTCAAGGAGCATATGATATACAGAGATGAAGCCGTGCTGATTGCCTTTTAAAGAGCGGAGATGGAAATTGATATTAGAATGAGCTTTCCAATCAGTTGACATTTATTGGCAATAGAATCGGTAGCACAGCTTTATTGCAGGCAGACAAGATGTACGTGGTTCATATCCGTGCGAGACGCGTCCCCGTGCATGCGTGTGTGTGTGCGTCTATGCGTCTATCTGTTGGTGAGCATATTTTCACAGCACACGTCTGTTCTCTATGATAATTCTAGCTGTGCTGGAGAGATGAGACTAGGCTAATCCAGGCGGCGGCAACTCATTTAGTCATCTCAATAGAACTCCATTAGCCAGCACTTTTAAGAAATATCAATAAGTGCTGTCAATAAGAATAGATCATTCATCAAGGTCAAAAAATATTAACACCGTATTAGGGGAGACAGATATGCAGCTTGAGATGAATTTTAGCACATTCTGTCTGCAATATTATGAAACCGGTTACTCTAGAGTTGAGTTGTCACCAGGGTTAGAAATTAACTTTTTTTTTTGCCCACAAGCCACAGTGGCTAGTGAAATGCAGAATTTTACTAACTGCTCATGTTTTTTGTTTTTTTTACTAGCGTTTTTTAAAATTTGTCTATATAAAATAACTCACCGTGATGTGAAATTGAACAGATTATTTGTCTTTTAAAATAACTTTTTTTTTTTGCTTTCTCACGGTCTCATTGGCTTTGTAAGGGGACTCTGGATTTTTATAAGCTACCGCAGTGTGTGGGACTTCTATTCCTATACACTACTGGTTAAAAGGTTGGGGTCATTAAGATTTAAAATTTTTTAAAGAAATTAATATTTTTATTCCTCAAGAATACATCACATTAATCAAAAGTGACAAAGATATTTTTAATATTACAAAAGATTTAAATTTCAAATAAATGGCCGTTTGAATTTTCTATTAATCAAACAATATTGTATGGACCAAAGTATACTGGTACTTTTGAAATCGTTAGTATAGAGTTCTTTTGTAGCTTATAACATTGAAGAATGTTTTGGAATGCTAAAATTAATACGATATACCGTATTGACCCGAATATAAGACAATGTCTTTTTCTTGGAAATACATCTGAAAAAACGCGGTCGTCTTATATTCAGGGTCTGGACTTTGACATGTCAATAATACACCCACAACAATAGGTGGCGCCAAATACGCATAAAACGAGTGTGCCATGAAATACGTAATGTAAATGGTATATCAAAAAGTGTATATTTTTAAAATGGGATTGTTGGTACATTTTACCAGTTTTTAACATACTTTCAAAACAAAAATTAAAATAGGAAAAATATGCAATATGAAAATAATTGAAGACAAAATGTGTTTTACTGAGAAAAAACAAGATTTGGTTTTTAAAAAGCCTTTTTCCAAAAGGTACATCTGGAAAAAGGGAGGTCGTCTTATAATCAGGGTCGTCTTATATTCGGGCCAATACGGTAGCTACTTTTTCAGCACAACATTTTTACTGCAGGCAGGTTTATATCACAATCCCGCAGTGGTTTGAATTAAAGATCAAATTCTTGTATATGATTTGTATCAAACAATGTAGTGTTACTGCCTCGGAACAGCAGGGTGGTGTTCAATTATGTAGCCACAACACAGATTCAAGATATTGCTTTGACTGTCACCACAAGAAATAATCCTTCATCCCTTTTGAAAGCTCTTATGTAATATACTCGTCTTTGTCCGGTTCTCATAATCCCAATTATCTGCATGCAAGCTACCTCAGTGTAAAGAATAAAAGAGCAAATGAGATTCATTTGCCGTCTATTGGGTTGAGAGGCTCACTGTTCCCAGTCAAAACCCACTTTTCACTGATGAGATGTTTAATGCTGTCAAGATGCTTAGCACCCATCACCATCTGAGTTTATGCATTTGACACTGTAAGCTGCTTCTGGTGAAGCGAAAGCCATCGCAACCCACCTGATCCGAGCGTTCCAGCATCCTCATCCCGTTTGACCTTAGAGCACTTATATAGAAGCTGTAACGGAGTACAACCAGGCTAAACCTCATTTTAAAAGCATTAAATGTATGGATGTTAGAGGATTATGGAGGACCCAAGCCATGCGAAAGCTCTTGTTATCCTCCCGAGAATTTTCAATCTCTGTTTACACAACAGGTTTGTAATCCGGCCACAGAGCAGGCCGTAATCTGATCAGGCACTCAGAAAACGTGCGGCGCTAGGAGATTTGCTTATGACGGCTTTGTCACGGCTGCTGCTCCTCAGAATTCACAATGCGGTTCTGGCACTTTCTCGCCTAATTGCTCCCTAATGATTTACCAGCTGTGCTTCGGGAACGCCGGGTGACTTTTCAGGTCATCGCTCTACCCACTTTCGAACCCAAAGTCTGAATCTCATTGTGCAGGAGACGGCTCGTCTGAAGCGCCGCCGAAAATCCCAAGCAGTTCTCGCATCTTAACCAGTTTAAATATGCTTGAAATGTTTGTTCTTGAATCTCTTCCATCGCTACCGGCATGATATTCTCGCGTTTCCACACCTGCATGCAGGCGAAAAAGTGTGCAAATGCTTAATTCCTCACAAACGCCGTAGCCACTGATGCTCCAAAGCTGTTTCGGCCTGCTCTAATGGATAAATGCATTTGGCGAGTTTGAATCTTGCCCTGTTTAAAAACGCTGTTGGCACTTGTGGAGTGTGCGGACCTTCTTTGATCTCATTATGAAATGCAAATGCTCACCAACCTAAACAGATCAAAGGTTGCACCCGCTGCTGGGCAGCCCAACATAATAATGGAAGCCAGGGGCGATTGACCATTTTTTTTTCCTAATAAGTGATTTGGGGGACTGCTTCACCCCCCCAGGGCGTTATTTACTTGCGAGCCGGGAACATTATCTCTTAAGTAACTCAATGGCCCAAATCCCAGCTCCCCTTGCTTTTATTTAAATGTGGCAGCTCAGGTATTGCACTCATCATATCTCTCGACTCAGGCTTGGTGTGCGGGGTTTGGAATATTAAGATGTAAAATTGCTTCAGTGCACTCTGATTTTCAGTTTAATCCTCCAGACAGGATCATTACGCGGTCGGGCATTTCATTTTTAAACGTCCTCCTGATATTAAATTATTAAAATGCTAAGATAAAAGTTGTTTGTATGTTTTTTCTGCCAACCTTTTCTAAAAATATATATACCTTACAGTACATCAGATTTGAAAATCTAGTGTGCAGTTATTAGGTCTGTGTTGTTGCATATATTTAGTTTGCAGCCTCTCTGTGTTTTTAATTGTGGCAGCAGCAGAAGTGGCTGTGTCGGTGGTGGGAATGGTGGTGATTCATGCCATAGCCAGTTTGATCCTGCTGTGTGGCTGGCTCCCGTGTCAGGAAGCTCCCGCCTGGCCGCCCGCCCACCAGCCTCACCTTGCCCCATCCCACTCGTACCCCGCCGCTCAACACAGAGTAGGTGGGCAGAAAGCATAGCGGCTCACCAGGTGGAGCTGGCAGAGAGGGCACTCGCTACACCTCGCAAAGCATGGAGTTGACTTTGGAAGTGCTTTTGTAAGAAACGACATCTTGAATCACGTTAACCAGTACTGCTGTAGCCATGTAACCGGTCTTGATCTACTCTTTGTTTTTGTTTTTAATTAAGGGAAGTACTACTTTTCAGCAGATACGTCAACCAACTAGTTAGGTACTCTAGGGAGAGATTGTTAGTCTGTGTACATTACTGTTTGGCGTCAGAAAGAAGTTGTGCAATTTAAAATATATTTTAGTATTTAATTTACTCCTGCGATTGCAAAGCTTAATTTTCAGTATCTGTTACTCCAGTCTTCAGTGTCACATGATCCTTCAGAAATCTGATTTGGTGCTCATGAAACTTTTCTTATCATAATCAGTGTTGAAAACAGTTGTGCTGCTTAATATATTTGTGAAAACCAATTTTCAGGATTTCATGAAGCATTTATAAAAGCATTTATGTGAAATAGAAATTTTTGTAACATTGCCTGTCATTTTTGGTTAATTTAATACATCCTTGCTGAATAAAAGTAAACATATATATTGTAAGATATATCTTGTGGGTAAACTTACAGACAACATGAAGCCCATGATCCCTACTGTGCATGTAGGTGTATACTTCCCCCACTAAACATCAATCATTTGTCCTTCATTGATTGATTCAACCCCATCTACGGTGATAATGAGGCCTGTTACACAAAGTCAATACCTGACATGGAACATTTAATGCTGGGTAAACTGGGTGAAATGTCGGCCTCTTTAGCATTTCTTACTGCTTGTATAATAGCAGCTGCCTTTCCATCAGACATTTTGGGGTTAAAACAATCTTCAACCAAACTGACCTGAATGTGTTTTTGAATGTGCTAAAAAGAAAACAAAAAAACTAAATGTTGGTCTAATAAGCTCTGTGCTTAACATTGTGATGTTTTGTATTAGACATTCGAGGGCATGCTTTATTTTGAATATAGTC